AAATTATTGTTTTATTGTCATTTTGTTATTATTTATTTATTTTAAACACAGTTGAAGGCTAAACTATTAGCCCTGCCGTGAAATGTTCATTATTTTACAATATTTATCAGTACATAATTTTGCTAATAATTTGCTAGTATTCAGCTAAAAGTGCCATTAGGTTGATTTGGCAAGTCATTTGCCAGCAGTGGTTTGTTCTGTAGCCAATAAAGGAAATTCTTAAGGGGGCTAATAATATTGACCACATCAGTTTTCAGAAATTTTTTCTTCATCTCAGCCAAGCGTAAACAAAAAAAAGTGACTTTCTATGAAAGAAAAAAACAGTAAAAAATCTGAAAAAGTCCTTGCTAATAATATTTGTTGAATAATTCTGTCTTCAACTGTATATTTGTTTGTTTTTGGAAAAAAATAGGCTGCTAGCGGAGCTGAGATAAATTTGAGGGCTTTTTTACTTTTTTTTTTTTTTTGAGTTTATTTGAAGTTCAATTAATGCAGAGTTTTAGTACAGTATTAGTTAAGTAATAACCCCTGAATTTAGTACTTTCAGTGAAATTCATAAATTGAAAGAATTGATATAACTAAACTAAATGATTGGGTTTGAATAATTTGTTTTTCAAATTTCAGCTCTCTATAAACAAACAATGTAAAGCCTTTTTCACTGCACATGTAAATAAGTAACGGCCAGGTGACTGCATTTACCACATTTCAACCAACTTTAGTTTTTATTGTGATCACTCAACATTATACACCATCATATCATCAACATCTGTGTGCTATTGGTGTTGTTTTTATGCAGTCTAGGCTGATTTAGTGTCTTAATTTGGCCACAACTTTCTCTGTGATTCAGCAAATGGATTGATTTTTGCTGACAAATCTTACCTTGACACATAAATTTACTGCTTTTGCTCTATTTACTTCCATTATGATGACATTAAACCAGTGGTTCTCAACTGGTTTGGCCATGGGACCCACATTTTTACATGGTCATCAAGCCGCAACCCAAATATTTAGGAACTGTAATATCATTTTAGGAATTATAATTCATTTGTATTTATTTGTTACATACACAAATAATGACAGATAAATCATAAGAAAAACACCAAGACTTACAAATAAACAATATTTTACTGCTGTCATTTAACAAAATGGATCAAATTATACAAATATTACAGAGTAAAAACGTCAGCGTTAGGGGCGGGGTTAAGTGAGCCCATTAAAAAGCATTGGATGCAGCCCAGATTGCACTGCACCAGGTCTGCAGCCAGGCCCTTCTCGCTTTCTTGGCCTTGGCTACACGGTGAGCACAGTAAGATGAGCGGAGTGTCTGTACTTGTTTTGAATATGAATATGTTCGGCACTTTTGTGATGCCCTCAGCTATTGGAGTCAACTTTGAAAATAGTCCACATTTGTCCTTGCAACTGGGATGTTTGGTTTCAAAATGTCATTTTAATTTAGAAGGTTTTGTGCTCTCTTGTGAGAGCACCTCACTGCATATGACACACTGAGGTTTTAAGTCCTTTTTTGTCGTCAATACATGTAAATCCACACTTTACATATTCGGGGTTGTTCTATCGCTGAAATTTCACATGTCAAACAGTACGGTTGTCGCATGCACATTTCAAAATAAAAGTCAGATCTTAGCAAAATAAGTAAAAAATTAAACTTTTGATCACACACTCCGCAACCCACTGAAAATGTTCCTGCGACCCACCAGTTGAGAAACACTGCATTAAACAGAGGTTCTCAAAGTGGGGGTCGGGACCCCCTGGGGCGTCGTGGGACAATGACAAGGGGTCGCTTGGTGATTTCCAAAACTCAAATCAATTTCATTAAACTATTTGAATTGCCATATTTTATTCATAACCCACAGAAGAGAGTTAATCGTTGCGTTAAAGAAATAACAGCATACAAATAAAAATCAGTCATCAGCCTTTAATTTTTATATAAAAATGTATTTAAATTAATAAATGACTATAAAAAAACATTATATAGTTAATAGACTGCTGCAATTTTGTGTTGTCAATATGCTCTTGTTTATATATGCCTATAGTTTTGTCTGCAACATTTATATATTTACAGTATAACCACCTTGAAAAATGGGGGTCGTGAATCACTGACATTGTTATTTTGGGAGTCGCGGGCTGAAAAGTTTGGGAACCCCTGCATTAAACAACCGTAAAGATGGCAAATTGTACCTTTTCCCAACAGAAAAAAACAGCAACAATCAAGAATGCATGATTTAATGCTGTCATGGCTTCACAATCAAAAAATGTGATTATAATTTGATTCAATATGGCAAAAACAGACCAAAGGGGAGTCAATCTGAACAATACATAAGGGTTAAACTCCTTTAAGACAGCAAAGACAGTACTTTGTACTGTTGACAGTACTGTAAGTCTTCTCCTAAGCATTTCTAAATCTAAGGAGATGGTTATTGATTTCAGAGAGAGAGAGAGAGAGCACATCCCATGGTAATTAATGGGGAGCAAATCCAGTTAGTAACTAAATGTAAATATTTGCATGTGTTGTTGGATGATAAGCTAAGGGGGATGTATGGACTGACTGTGTAAGGAAAAAGCTTAACAGAGAATGTACTTCTTCAAGAAAGTATTGTCTTTTAATGTTGACAACACATTGCTGATCATGTTTTATAGTGCTTTTGTTGAAAGTGTTGCAATATTATGTGTGATCTGTTGGTATGGAAATGCTTCTGAGGCCCAGAAGAGGTCACTGGGGAAGGTGGTAACAACAGCCAGAAAGTTGCTGGGAATCAAACTAAAGAGCATTGATGGTATATACAAAGAAAGAGTACTAAATAAGGCTATCATGAGGGTCAATGATAAGAAACATCCTTTATCAAACAACTTCCAATTGTGTTCCCAGCTGTGTAAGAAATAGGGGAAAAAATTATTTATACCCAAGCAATTAAATAAATACAGTTTTTTAAATTTCTCCTCCCACGGTTGATGGCTAGTAGACTGGGTATTTGTTAAGAGTACAGGTACCATGTTTTTAAATAAGGTATATATATATTAGAGCTGCACAATTCTGAAAAAAAGAATCCCAATTTTTTAAAAATCAGGATTTTTCTCAGGATTCTGCAGATGTAAAATAAAGGTTAATATGAGTGTGCTATTATTATTGTTATTCTCAAACATGTGGTAAAACAGCAATAGGCTTTGTGTAGCTGTACTGTTGGTTAAAATGCTCAATGTTGTATAGACTTGGAATGGTGGACTTGAACAGACTTTAGATGTGTCCTGGTCATTAATGCTGATGATTCTGATGTTGAAATATTGTGTTTGAGTCATTTGCTTACAATCTGTAATTTTCTGCTTAAACTCTGTCACTGGCGTGATTTTCGTGAATACAGAAGACTGGGTGGGTATTTTTGCATTTCGGCGGGTTTTGGATACTTTTTGAGCTGGAATCAGTCAGCTACATCTGGCAACACTGTGCGCTTTCGGTTTCAATTTCACTGCTAAGAGCGGTTTACTTCCCGCGCAGCTCCTAAACGATCACTCTGTGCCACAAACTAAATGTTATTTACAACTTTATTACCTGTTATTCACAGCCTATGCAGGATCTGTTCACTAAAGAAGACTTCATTCAGAGGCACGCGCATGCCTGCCCGCCCTCCCTGTGGTAACAGCTGATGGTCAGCTCACGTCACGTGTTATTTTGCGGTCGTAAATACATTACATGAAGACAGAAAAGGTGAATTATATCTTATAAATACAGCATGTGACTCTTTTAACACCATTTGGAGGTGACGCATTGCTGAACAACGTATGTAAAACAATATGAAGACTTGTGCGGCCACCATTACTTCTCCGATGAACTTGAAAATATGATTGACAGAATTATAGAAATGCTGGATTAAGATCGTCTAGGGGGTCGAATCGAGATCACCATCTTTTTACGATTATTTGTGCAACTCCTATATATATATATATATATATATATACACATACACCAAATGTGAAATGTCAGAAGTCTCTTTTTTTTTTTTTTTGAGTGTTTGTTTGCTGCAAATTAAATTTCCCTACAGGGACAAATAAAATTAACTATGAATGAAAGATCATATGATGAGAGATCATCATCTTCAGCTTAACCTCACGTAAACGGAAATGCTTGAAGTTTCTGCCAATAACTTTTCAATCCAGATGGACGGGGCAACCATTACTGCATCCAAAATGGTGAAAAGCCTTGAAGTAACGATTGATGACCAACTAAACTTCTCTGACCACATTTCTAGAACTGCTCGATCTTGCAGATTCGCACTCTATAACATCAGAAAGATCCGACCCTTCCTATCTGAACATGCAGCTCAACTCCTTGTTCAAGCTCTTGTTCTCTCCAGACTGGACTATTGCAACTCTCTACTAGCCGGGCTTCCAGCTAACTATCAAGCCTCTTCAGCTGCTCCAGAACACAGCAGCACGAGTGGTCTTTAATGAACCTAAAAGAGCACATGTCACTCCGCTGCTCATCCGTTTGCACTGGCTGCCAGTTGCTGCTCGCATCAAATTCAAAGCTCTGATGTTTGATTCAAAGTGACTTCTGGCTTTGCTCCTTCTTATCTGCTCTCACTTCTGCAGATGTATGTGCCCTCCAGAAACTTGCGTTCTGTGAATGAACGTCGCCTCGTGGTTCCATCCCAAAGAGGGAAGAAATCACTTTCCCGAACTCTCGCATTCAATCTGCCCAGTTGGTGGAATGAACTCCCTAACTGCATCAGAACTGCAGAGTCAGTTCTTCAAGAAACGCTGTCTTCAAGAAACAACTAAAAACTCAACTATTTAGTCTCCACTTCACTTACTAATCTGCAATTCCCGCTCTGACTCCTCCACTAACTACAAAAAAGAAAAAAAAGTTGTGTAAATTGCTTCCTTGTCCTCATTTGTAAGTCGCTTTGGATAAAAGTGTCTGCTAAATGACTAAATGTAAATGTACCTAACTAAATTCTTATTTTGCCATGTTTTTTTTTTCCTTTTAGGACATGGACTTTGTGAAGTACATCATAAGCTGCTTCAAAGTGTACTACCCAAAGTTTCTTTGTGAGTATATTGTGCTTTAATTCAACTTTCCCAATAACCAAATATAGGAACGTTGTGAAAATTGGCACATTTATAGCAAAATATCTTAACATTAACTGCACCAATTTTAGCCTCTGTACGTGAAACCCTCTAGCGCCACCATCACGGCAAACAATGATGTTTTATGGTTGCAATAAAGTCATGATTGTATGATTATTGCAGAGTTATTAAAGAAAGAATTGTTTTGGGTGAGGTAAGAAGCGGTGATGTTAAAATGACTTAAAAGACTTGTAAACTGATGCTACTGTTGAATCATTGAATAAAATATAGTAATTTACAGGACTGCAGGATATATGGAAAAACAGTATTGCGATAATAATACATGCGATATCCATATAGCAGAGAAGTGCAGTAAATTAAGTTAATTTTATGTGCCAAGCACTTGTGCTGCATGCATAAGTTGTTTATCCAATTCTGACCAATCAGATGAGGCCTTTACTATCTTTAGTTCCGCCTCTCTAAAAGGGGCTGTTAGCTGAAAATAAACACTAATGCTGGAAGACAAGAGAGGAAAATCACAACAGCCAATAAGAATCTGAATTTCCACAGAGGTTTTCATTCATTCGTGGTGTTTTAAAGTCTAAATGTTTGCATCTTGACATTGTTTTTTGAATTTAGGTCAGAACATATATATATATACACAACCAAGCATTTGATGTTATTAAACCTTCTTCCTTCTTTGTGTTTTTGTTTTCATCTTAGCCAAAATGATCATGTACGAGATGCCTTGGATCATGAATGGTGAGTTGTGATTGGCTGCTGTGAACGACAGATGTGTGTATTGATTCATTTCATTGGTCGTGATGTTTTGGTTCGTTCACTCAGCTGCCTGGAAGATCGTGAAGACGTGGCTCGGCCCTGATGCCATCAGTAAACTCAAGTTTGTCTCCAAGAGTGACATCCAGACGTTTGTGGGCCCCGAACACCTTCCACCATACATGGGAGGAACGGTACGCGAAAATTAGAGGAGCTTGTTTGCCTTAAGTAGGACAGTATATACTGTTTAAGTCAGAATTATTCACCATCCTGGTAAATTTGAATTCTTCTATATTTTTTTAGCATTTTCTGTTTAAGGGAGAGCAGATTTTCTCAACACATTTCTAATCATAATAGTGTTAATAACTCCTCTCTAATAACTGATTTATTTTTTCTTTGTCATGATGACAGCACATAATATTAGACTAGATATTTTTCAAGACACTAGTATTCAGCTTAAATTGACATTTAAAGGCTTGACTGGGGTATTTAGGGTAAAGTTAGGGTAATTAGGCAAGTCGTTGTATAACAGTGGTTTGTTCTGGAGACAATCCAACACTAATATTGCTGAAGGGGGCTAATAATATTGACCTTAAAATGGCTTTAAAACAATTAGAAACTGCTTTTATTCAAGCAAAAACATTTTACTTTACATTTGCATTAAGTCTAGAAATGCCCAACCTTACTGAATCTCTCGGCTGTTCTCAACGCTTTTTCGTGCCACTTTCAATCCCATAATGCAGTGGTCCCCGACCTTTTTCTAACTGCGGACCGGTCAACTCTTGACAATTTTACTGCGGACCGGGGGGTTGAGAAAATAGTAATAATAATAATAAACGTGAATCCATTGAGTACTCATATGGAACTTTCTTAGCACATTGCTTCAACATTACAATGCTATTATAACATTAGGAAGTAATAACTTTATTAACACATTGCTCCAACAATATGACATATTATAACATCAGAAACTGTCCGTAACGCTAAATCAATGGGAGCCCTGAGCTTGTTTCTTTGCAACGAGATGGTCCCATCTGGGGGTAATGGCAGTCAAAAGCCCCTTTCACACATACAGACCTTTCCGGAAAATTACCGGCAATTTTCCGGAAAGGTGTGTGTGTGTGAACAGGCCCTTTTTAAAAATACTGGTAAATTCATTCTGGCTATTTATTTTCCGGAAAGAGAAGTTGCATTACCGGTAATTTGCTGGAATGCGGCGCTGTGTAAACGCAGAAGGAAGACTGCCGGAAAGAGCGCGTGCACGTCTAGAACGTGCTGACATGAGACGCCTGCTTTAGCCAATCAGAACAGTCAGACGCATTCACGTCCGCGCGGTTTATGAGAATAAAAGCCTTTAAATATTTTTCCAGACACATTTAGCTGCTAGATGTTAGTCAGATAATGTTTATATGTTCATCTTAATGCCCACCGTGTAGATAATTATCCATAAGATGCTTATGATAAGCCTTGGTTTGTTTACCTTCAAGCTTTGCGTGTGCCCGTGAAACAGCCCGTGAGCGCCAGCACACACACACATATCATGCAAGTCCGATATGAAGTTCGATCTGTAATTGTAAATTTGTTTCAGGATTTGTAAAAGTCTTGTTAATTTGTTTTCTAAAATGTACATTTGTTTTGTCCTTGGTAAAATTGTTTTTCCTCTGTAATTGTGTCTGATGACCGGTAAAAATGTTTTTCAAAATGCAAATTTGTCTCGAGCTTTATAAAAGTGTTTCAAACTTTGTAATGTTGTTTTGTACTTCCCGGCCACCGTAGAAAACAGATCTGGTTACAGATATCGCTGCCTCTGTTACTCTTTACCAGGGGTCGGCAACCCAAAGTGTTGAATTATCTATATTAGCTATATTAGCCTACTATAAAAATGACTAAGTTGGCTACAAATACATAATGAGCCTTCATGATTGAATAGCCACTGAAATCAGGTGGTTGGTGTTTATTTCGTTGTCATTTAAACACTTCAGCACAGCCTCTGGTCTTTCAGTGTAATTAATTTGATCATTTCTTCTTGCGGCCCCTCAGAGTTCACATACCTGCATAAAAGCGCATTGAATATCGGCCACATCACAGGCAATTGAGTATGCTGGCACTGAATTAATGTCCTTGGTTTGCTGATCGGTGATGTTACCTGCCATTTTAATAGCCCTTTCCTTCACTGTCTTAGCAGAGAGAGGTATATCTTTAATTTTTTGTATTATCTTGATTTTGTTTTTGAATTCTGCAAATAGGTGTTCTAATATGTTGATGAATGACTCCTTCATGTAGTCACCATCTGTGAACGGTTTTCCATGCTTTATTATCTCCCGGTTTGTTTACAACAGCCACCTGCCTGGCATCCCGCCCTGCTGATAGAAACCTGTGTCGCAGGTTGAAATTAAATATTAATTCACACTTTTACAGCATTTGAAAACGTTAAAAATGTTTGTCCTCCTATAGAAATCATATTAAAACAAAAATATATATTAACCTCCCCCATCTTTTTGAACATTTTTGAAAAAGCTCCAGGGAGCCAGAAGGGCAGCGCTAAAGAGCCGCATGCGGCTCTAGAGCCGCGGGTTGCTGACCCCTGCTCTTTACCTTGGACTTTTGTGTTAACATTTATTATTATTATTATTAATTTAGCATATGCGTTTTCGCATTCTGATTCCAATGCCTTATTATTACACTGTTAAAATGACTATATCAAGTGTGACAGGCCTATTGATAACTTGTAGGGCAACTTGCCTCGCAGAATCAACAAAAATAAACTCCAGTAAACTGCCTTGCAATTTTGAGTCAACAGTGTACATGACAGATCCTGTAGTGGGACTATTGCAGATGCACACATTGTGGTATCGATGCTGACGCCATGTATTCTGCAGCTCTAGTCATTATTATTAATATTGTGTCTGTGCGTTTTATGTTACAGGACCAGTTCAAGTACAGTTATCCGCCTCTGCCGGACGATGACTTCCAGTCTCCGATCTGTGAAAACGGTCCAATCATCAGCGAGGATGAAAGTGACCTTAAAGATGCCGAATCGGAGTCCAAAGAGACTCTAGAGTCCAGTTTCAACACCGACCAATCCATCAAACCAAAGAAGGTGCAGTATATTTCACATTTAGGCCATGTCCACATGTACACGGGTGATTTTATACACCGAGTTTCCACCTTCGGTTTAAGAAAAGTCTCCATCCACATAGTAAAGCAAAAGTGCACTGTGGTGCATGCTAAAGGGAGAGTTCGCCAAAATGTGACAATTCGAATCATCATTTACTCGCCCATTTCAGAGTTTCTTTATTCCACTAAAACACAAAAGAAGATATTTAGAAGAATGCTGGAAATCAGTAACCATCGACTTCCATTGTAGGGGAAAACAAGTCAAACTATCTTCCTTAATGTTTAAAAAGATGTAACTCAAAGGCTTTAAAGCATGTGAGAATACTGAAAAAAGACATGTTTTTGATGAACTATGCCTTTAAGAAAGACTCGTACAAAGCTAATTCAAATGAATATGCATAAACTCTGAATAAACATGGGGATAATAGTCATTTACTTGAACCTTGAACTTGAACCTTGAAATTGAACCTACATTTACTTTCTGAAGACTTTAATAGGACAATTCACCCAAATTCTGTCATTATTTAATCCCGCTTGACTTATTTTACACCTGTTTGACTTTGTTTCTTCTGTTGAACAAGATATTTTGAAGAATGTAGGGAAACGGTAACAGTTGACTTCCGTAGTGTTCGTTTTCCCTACTATGAAAGTCAATGGTTACAGGCTTTCCTCAAAATATTGTCGGTTGTGTTCAACACTAGAAAGAAACTTAAACAGAAGAAAGAATCTTAGGGTGCTTTCACACCTAGACTTTTGTTTGGGAACCTGTCTCGTTTGCCCAGTTAGCGCGGTTCATTTGGCATATGTGAATCCAGCATTCACTCTCGGATCCGCGCCAAAGTAATCACTCCGAGATCGCCTGAATGAGGTGGTCTCGGCTCGATTAAAACAAACCCTGGAGCGGATTGATTGCAGTGAGTAAGCGATACGATCCGAGCGCGGTTATATCACAGTGTTTTATGGATATGTAATAGGCTTACGGCTATATGAAGAGAGAATTATGAGTAGGGCGGGAGGTTTCGCAAGTCTCCGGATGCCCGCAAACGAGTGATGATCTCCCGGTAATCTTGCGTCTTCCTCCCGGTACTCAAATAGGCATCGTCGCGCACCCTTCTCACCCCTCCCCACTGCATCTCTCCTCAGACACGTCACGCGCGCGCACCCTGTCAATCACCACCAAACCACCACCTCTCCTGACAGCTGAGCGGGACGCTGCAAAATAAACACTGACACTCTGACCAATGTGAGGAGAGTTTACTCGCACGTGACTTGTTTTAGCTCTTTTGGTCCGATTAGAAACTTTGCAGTGTGAAAGCGAACCGCTCCAAGAGCAAAGAGCAACAATGTAACAATTGTAATCTCTGTTTCAGAACAACTGAATCAATTCACAGGTGTGAAAGCAGCCTTATACTGTGCCTGGAGTTTTGAAAAGTCTTCACCCTGGCTAAAGGTTTTAGAAAGTTTTAGTTTCAGCCACCGGATGTTGAGTTTTCCTGTGGACAAACAGCCAAACCGCATAGGGAAAAAAATGGCTTTAAAAATATCCGTGTTTGTGTGGACAGGGCCTTACTCTCGCACTGAAGTGATTGTGTGTTAATTCATGCATTTGTGCTTGGAAATCAACTACTGTGTGCTCAAATCAAAGCATGCTGGAGCTGCAAATGATGCATTATATTACATTGGCTTTTCTAGGGATGGGCGATTTTTATATTATCATTTGCAATATATTCAGTCGTAGTCAGAATTATTCACCCCCCTGTTTATTTTTCCCCCAATTTCTGTTTAACGGAGAGCATTTTTTTCCTGCACATTTCTAATCATAATAGTTTTTAACTCATTTCTAATGACTAATTTATTTTATCTTCTCCATGATGACAGCACATAATATTAGGCTAGATATTCTTCAAGACACTAGTATTCAGCTTAAAGTGACATTTAAAGGCTTAACCAGGTTAATTAGGTTAACTAGGCAGGTTAGGGTAATTAGGCAAGTCATTGTATAATGATGGTTTGCTCTAGACTGTCGAAAACAAATACATGGCTTAAGGGGGCTAATAATTTTGACCTTCAAATGGTTCTTAAATTAATAACTGATTTTATTCTAGCCAAAATAAAGCAAATAAGACTTTCTCTAGAAGAAAAAATATTATCAGACACACTGTGAACATTTCCTGAATCTGTTCAACATCATTTGGGAAATATTTAAGAAGAAAAAAATTCAAGTTTGGTGAAAAATTCAGACTTTAACTATAGTCACCCTCACAATAACAATTTTTAGCAAATAGATTTGCGTGTTTGGGCTTTTGTTTACAAAAAAACTATTTACTGACATAATTTCACTCTAAACTCGCTGCAAAACACCAGTCGAGTGCTTGAAATAACTATATGAACTATATGTGAATATTGTTTATTATATTTTTTTATTATGACAGAATGAAGGAGGAGGCTAATATGTTAGCTGGATTGAATACTGTTTTTGTTAAATACAAGAATTAACAGTATTTCCAAAGATACAGGACTTGTCGTCTATCAATAGATGCGTATAAATTATTGCATATAATTTGCTTATTGGAATAAATTTGAGACTAGATGACTATATATTAGCACTTTTCTCCAGAGATACAGAACTTTCTTTTGTCTCTCAGTGGATAAATATAAATCAATTATATTCATTCATTCATTTTCTTTTCGGCTTAGTTCCTTTATTATTCACTATTCCAGCAAATACTTTACGCAGCGGATACCCTTCCAGCCGCAACTCAACACTAAGCAGCACCTATACACACTCATTTACTCATACACTACGGCCAGTTTAGTTAATCAATTCCCCTGTAATTCAATTCAGTTCACCTTTATTTGTATATTTATATTATAGCGCATGTGTGCTATAGCGCATGTGTTTGGACTGTGGGGGAAACTGGAGCACCCGGAGGAAACCCACGCCAACACGGGGAGAACATACAAACTCCACACAGAATTGACAATAGACCCAGCTGGGAAACAAACCAGCGACCTTCCTGCTCTGAGGCGATCGTGCTACCCACTGCACCACCGTGATTCCCGCTTGAATCAAGAATATCATTATTGTAATAAATTCCAGGGTTAAAAATCTTCTTTTTTTATAAAATATTACATTTTTAATTAATAATTCGTTTCTCAGGGCAACACGGTGGCTCAGTGGTTGGCACTGTGGCCTCACCGCAAGAAGGTCGCTGGTTCGAGTCCCAGCTGGGTCAGTTGGTGTTATGTGTGGAGTTTGCATGTTCTCCCCATGTGGGTGTGTTTTTCCTCCGGGTCCCCACAGGTCAAACACATGCACTATAGGGCAATCGATGAACTAAATTGGCTGTAGTGTATGAGTGTGTGTGTGTGTGTGTGTGAATGAGTGTGTATGGGTGTTTCCCAGCAATGGGTTGCAGCTAGAAGGCCATCCACTGTGTAAAACATATGCTGCATTAGTTGGCGGTTCATTCCACTGTGGCGACCCCTGATGAATAAAGAGACTAAGCCAAAGGGAAATGAATGAATGAATCAGTCTCTCAGTGGATAAATATGAATTACCTTTAATAATATAATTTCAATAAATACCAGGGTAAAGGCCTTTACGTTTATATATTAACACTTCTCTGCAAAGATACAGGACTTTTTTGCTCCCTCATTGAATACACATGAATTATTTTTAATAATATCATTATTGCAATAAATTTTGTTGAAAACCTTTTTTAATAAAATATAAACATATATAAAATATATTTTTAACACATTTTAATCAGTTTTTCTCTGTTCTAATATTTTTTATTATTTGTTTTTATGTTCTTATACTTGCCTCTTTTATTCCTGCTTATGTAAAGCATTTTGAATTGCCACAATTGATATAGTCATTTTAATTGAATTGTGTATGAAATGTGCTGTAGAAATACACTTGCCTTGCCTAAAAAAATATGCAAATGTCCAAAAATACAGGACTTTTTTGCTCTCTCAGTGGAACCATATGTAGTATCATCAATCATATCATAATTGCAATAAATACCAGTGTTAAAGACTGCTTTCTGAATAAAATATAAAAATAAAAATAAATGCATTGCTCCAAAGATACAGGACTTCAGTGGATACATATGTAGTATCTTCAGTAATATCGTTATTGCAATAAATAGTAGAAAATACAGTGATATAATCAAGTCCATATCGCTCATCCCTGCCCTTTGACTCTCTTCATTAGTGAGATAATAATAAATCTTATGAAATCAGCTTAACATCAGCAATAACTACTAACCAATGCTGGATGACTGTAGAGGAGAGATGTGACGCAACAGAATGGTTAATGTGGTGTGAACTGATTTGCTGATGCAGGCTTATTATTTTGCACTGATTGGCAGAAATTGATCAAGCATTTGATCTTATCTGAGCCGCAGCAGGAAGTTGTGCTGCAGAAACATGTCTGAGACTATACGCTGCATTTCCTTTTTTCTTGCAATCTCGAATGCTTTCCTTTGGCCTCTTTATCAGTGAGATAATAAATGGCGTGATCAGGTTAATTAGCATCAGCAAAAACTACTAGCTAGAGCTGGATGATCCAGTCAGAGAAGATCTGTTTTTGTATGTTAGATTAGACGTCTCGTACTGCAAAAGCAATGCTGCATGAGTTTACAGATTTACAAATGAAACTGAGTTTTGCACAGGAATAAAGGCAGACTGATCGAACCACATTATACTGATTCATCGCTTCATGATCACAATCAAAACTGAAATTAAATTGATTAATTGCACAGGCATAACATGATAAATAAGTAAAACAACATGATTAATTAATTAATTAATTCAAAATCATTTTGCCATTCAGTTGTAAAGTTTATAATAACCTCAAGTAGGGATATGCTGTACCTAGTACTAGAAAAAAAACTCATAATTTTAAACAATTTTAACCTGCATAATCAGATGATGATTAAATAGTGTTGCTATTCTTTCACTTTAGGAAAAAAATAA